AAATTAGGTAACTATATCGATTGTTCTGTGGTGTTGTTAGGTATGATAGCCTATAATATTGCTCTGAAGATCTGCTGACCGGCGAGCTGCCACCGGTCCGGATCGGAGACTATGCCATTCCGTTTGACCACCTGAACACCCATTTTCTGATTGTTCCGTCGTATGCTGTGTTATACTAGCCCTCGTATAACCCCAGTACTCGCTTTGGACGTGAATTTAACGATGCATTGTGAAGAGATTGCGTATGTGTATCTTAGCGAGTGCGTTCACTTTTTCTGTAACGCGATGTTGTCAACAACCAACCCCGACAAGCCACACATACTCAACATTTGATTGTGCTGACTTGTATGATCTGCAGGTATTGTGTGTATATGATATCTACATCGTGGTGTACGGCAGTGTATAGGCGCTAGGGAAGTGCGTTTACGTATACTCGTAGGTGATGTAGATGCATATCCTCTCTGCCACGGAGGCGATACCATTCTTCGTTGGAAAAGGGACAGACTTCGTGCTCGATTGAATGTGAACACATATGTGTTGCATATTCAATATGTTTGCGACACAGTGGTGCTCTTTCGAATCCGACATACCAGTGCGAACAAGGGTTTGTTCGACTTAAATATATACGTTCGCAATATGTCGTTTTTAAAATATCGCAAGTCTATCTACTCGGTGTACTATCATACAGTCTAAGGTGTTATATGACTTGGATATGAACGTTCGCTGATATAAACGTTCGCTTTTTATCGTTGCTATGCAACACTAATATACCACCGATATACTATCACACCTTTTTTTATACTAAATGTTACGTAGGTCTATATATTTTGGCTTGCTTGCGTAGGTAGGCGAGCTTAGTTGGTGTGTTACAATGCATGAGGGGCGTAGTACCGAAAGGATACTATCTCAAACGATCGATGTGGTTGTCGCAAGCCATATTTGTGGTACACGCATTTGGGCGTGCGAGTTTATAGGGTGCATTAGGGTTCAGGGTGGGGGAGTTGAAACTTAATACACACCATGTACCTGCGAGCGGGGCTTACTAAATAATATCAGGCATCAGAACGAAATGATTTGCGAGGGGGTATTCAATTCCTAAGTATATGTTTTCTCAGATAAGTTGGGAGACGTACGCAAAAGTACAGCCGCAAACTAAAAAGCGTACCCTTTGGGGAGCGATCACCCCCCCCCCTTTCTTCACAAATCGGGTTGTTCTGAGACCTGTCATGTTTAATAATCGGCCCTTATCCATGCACATACCCATGCCTACCCGGACATGAGCCACACATACAAGCATACACACATACACCTCCAATGGAAACAACGATCACTGGTGTACTCACTGGGCGTACACTTATCAGAACCACATCATGCTGTATGTGTGCTGGCTGCTGCATATGTGTCTGTCCGGTATTAAATTGTATGCACCAGACCACGCCGGGGGTATATTTGGGATATCTGGAGGACTCAGGAAAGATAGTCGTGTGTATATGCGGGTGTCACACAACGTATATAACAGGCGGTAAATGTGAGGCTAATCGGTACTTGATTCTATGGCAAGGCATGTGTACAAGGTTAAGCTGTACATTTGCTGGACGCAGGAGCGAAGGTTTGTACACAGCAACTAAAAGCTCCGGTTAGGGTATAGCCAATATGTTACGAGCACAAGCTGGATGTGAGTGTTTGCTACAGACTTGCACACCCTGGGGGGGAGTGTGTGTGTGGGGGGGGTTATATGGTGAAAAACAATTGCAACCTTCTATGAAAGTGTGTTGTGTTAAAGTTCAATTGTTCACCCGAGCGTGGCATGTCCTAGTCGTATGAGCGCGCGTGATGGTATTGGGAAGCGTAGGAGTCGCAGATCCGAGAGGGTTAAAACGGTAGAGGTATGCACAAGTAGGGACCAGATCACAGTCAACTATACACATAGATAAAACCCTAAAACCCTAAAACCCTAAAACCAGTCAAGGACTACAGCGACACGGATTATAAGGAAGCTACACCTCTGGTATAAACGCACACTCTGGCTAACTATGAGGTCACAGAATCTATATATCGAATTTCATGTCGTTTGGGTCCCATTTTCCCGATTTTTTGTTCTGACTTTTGGTTTTGGGTGAACGCAGGCACAGGCGGTTCTTCGTCCAATCAGAACGTGTTTGCAGTGCCGCTGGCGGTGTCAAGCTACAGATCGGCACAGCCGGAATCACAGTCGCAGTCGTGGCAGGTGGCCAATTCTCAGGTATGGTCTTCCGACGGTGTGTAGTCCTTGGCTTGTAATGTTGTGTAGGGGCGCGTAGGCGAAGTTCGGTATGTCTCGAATAAACCGGTTGCACAGCCGTAGGTAGGTCATAGATAGGCCTATGGTTCAAGGCTCCCCCGGGTTCTTACATAGTTCACCGTATAGATAACTTAACTAATACACCGTCAGAGTCGGGACTATCGGGCCGCATGCTCGGGTCGATCAGGCGAGTTGTTTGAGGTCAACCTATAAATATGTTTCTACTTTCACCTAATCTGTCCAAAACATGTCCCGATTTCCAGGAAGAATCGCAAACCGGAGACCAGGTGATCTTCACCTCGCTCGCGGACGAGCCGGCGAGCGACGAGAGTTTTCCTACCACATCCTCCGCATTCTTGGCGAGTCTAAACGAAGTAGCTGAGCCAATCAAACCGTCCATCACAGGCCCAGCCACAGTGACAGCTACAGACAAAGCCAGAGGAGAGAGTATGGCTGGACTGGGAGATGCTCCGATGAGTCATAGTGGACCGGTGGGAGTAGGAGAAAGTTCGGTGCCATTGGGCAGCGACGCGGCACAGGCGGACAACGGTGCTGTGGGGACTGTAGAGATGGTACTTAAGGCGGTGTGAGATGTATGCAAGACTACAAATGTGTATATCTGTTTGACGTTTGTGAATTGTATCAGAGGTATGATTGTTCAGGTGAGCGAGCCTTAGCCTTAAGTTTAGTAGTGTCTTATGATAGTTTCAGAGATTAGAGTATTGGTCTCAGTACCGTGGGGGTATCAACCTTTTCTGTATTACAATCGAGTTCGCTCTTTTTCTGTGATGAAAGTAAAATATCGCTGCTGACAACAACTCGATTCTTCTTCACCCTATTCCCAATGATAAAACTAACTACATATATCTCACCTTGCAGGACGCAAATTGGAAACCGGGCGCGAATGTCGCTGAGGTGATATCTTTGGCCGAGAGAAACGCTAACCAATCAGAAGGCGCGGATGTCTCTTCATCGGCCAATGAGAAGAGGACATCATCGCCGACAGATTTTGAGGATGCAAAACACTCCAGCATGATGGAGCATGGGAGTCAGGTGCCCGTTTTTGCGTCGGGGAATGGATCGGGCATTTTCGGCCCTAATTTAGTGGGTGCAGGTGCAGAAGATGAACAAGACAAAGACGAGGGCGGTAGTGACGACAGCCATAATGCACAGAACTTCGGCCAACACTCGTTCGTGGATGCGAGCGCTATTGGAGAAACCTCATTGGTGGACAATGGTAACCATAGCAACGAACACGATTTCACCATGGGCTCGCCCCAGAGTGGTGTTGGGGGGACCGGGCATCTCAGAAACTCGCTGAGCTCTGGCGCCAATATGACCAGCACTCCACGCCTGTTGCCCACCACGCCGCATATGACAGGTATGTCCTACTATGCAAGCGAGCAGCACCCACCTACGTCACGACAATGCAATCTAACAAACGACAGGACAATCTATTTATAGGACAGAGGGGTGGCACGTGCGATCTAGACTTTTCATACACCACGAAACGCCCGCATAAGCTGCTATCTCATAAACTCGGTTTCAGATTATCTTCGAATACCGTGCAGTCCCCTGGGGCGGCTCTGGTGTGTACATACGCCACACAGTTTCAACATTCAGTTCGGTATCTCGCGCACGCCCAACATCCAGCACATTTATACAACGCTGACATATCAGATTCTGGTGCAAAATCAAACCGTCAAACGCGTAAATACTCGTTGCGTCATATGCAGGCACCTTTGTGAGCGAACCATCACACCCCCACCCCCCAACGACCAATCAAATGGACTCGTCGTTGAATGCGTCCTGGATGGAGTCCCAGTTGGTGTCTCCTGTGAGTATGGCAAAGGGCCAGTTTTCACTTTCCAACAGATCAGGTCGACGGTCGCCCACGCCGTACTTGCGGCTTGGTGGTACTCGAGGTAGGTGGATATTTTGTTATACTTGTATTATATG